TTCAATATAAAATATCAATATTATGAAAACAACTTAATATATAATATATAAAAATTTTTCAAATAAAGTATTTTCTATAATGTTTAGAGAAAAACGCTTTTTATATCTGAAACGAATGAACTATAAGAACAAAATAGATAGAGTGGAAAAATAAAACTTAAATGAGTAATTACATTTGTATCCTTCTCTAAAATATAAAATCTACAGGTAAGTAAGTCAATTCGATTATTGGATGTTAAAACAGGATAATAAAAAGATAAATTAGATGGTCATAGTGAATATGTCCAATCAGTAGGGAACTATTTTCGTAATTGAATAATATCCAATTGCTAGCCTCAAGTTATCTTAATCAACACTTATATAATTTGAAAAGTTTCTTTTCTATCTTTTGTAGGATTACTCCTAATATTTATTTAAAAATGGTTTTTTGCTTTATAACATTTAATACCAAGAAAAATAGGCAATACAACTAAAGAATAATACACGATATAGAGAAGAAGTAATCTACTTCTATGTTGAGAGACTTAAGTAAACTATTAAGCTAATCTACATAAATATTTTTACTGTAATCATTATTGATCTCACTTTAGAATATTTTTAAAGTTAAATAGATTTTACAAACCATATTTTTTAGAGCAGCTCCGCTTGAACTGAAATTTTTATAGGTTTCAAAAATTTTTAGTTCAAGCAAAAATCAAATGCCAAAAAGCTCGATTGCACATTCTAAAATGTTTATATAAACAAAAGTTCATATATTAGTTATTAAGTATTTAATTATTTTTATTAAATATTTAGATAACTTAATTTACTTAATGCTAAGCCCTTTTTTTATTTTCATCATTCTTATATTTTCTTCTTCTTCTTTTGCCTATATGGCCTTTCATTAAAATTAATTCTTCTTTTTGCAATATTTTTGAATCTGGGATCTCTTGATTCCATTTAAAATTATTTTACTTCATACAATTATTGCTACATTTATTAACCAAACCTCAATTTTCTTCTCTTTCAAATTACGCTTTTTGAACTATATTTCTATCTTTTCTTTCATTTTTATAATTCCTTTCTCTTGTTATATTTTCTATTATAGTTTTACTTTATAACAATTTTCATATTTTATTCTATCTTATTGAGCAAATAATCTTTATTTTCTTTCATACTCTTGATATTTAAACTGAATTCTTTATCCTTACTTCTTTATTCTAATTATCTCTATTTCAATTCCATTTCTTATTATATTAATTAATTTTACAATTCTTAGATTATTTCTTAAAGCGATGCTTATAAGTTAAAAATTATTGATATATTTAGAAATTATTTTTAATAATTGTAAATCTTTGAAATATATATATATTTGTTCAAAGTTTATCTAAAAATAATATGGGCTGCATATAAAAGAATTGGTTTAATTTATTTATAAAATTTATGTTAATATTCTCTTAATACATATATATGATGTGGGAAATATATTTATTTATCTTTAATTAGATTTGTTCATTTAATCAAGAATGTTTATATATGCTTTAAAATAATTACCTTAAACTATGGAGTTTGAATAGTGTTAGAAAATATTAATTGATAAGATTGATTGTGAATTATCTTATAATCAGTAATAAAAATTAGTTTTTTTTGAAATGCTGACTATTTTTAGATCATATAAGGTAAATATAGATAGTAATAAGTTAATGATTTCAAATTTTCAATAACATTAAATATAATATATAAATAATATATTGAAGAAAAATATTTAAAAAATGCAATATTCAAACACCTATGTATCAATTGCTAAAGACATAAATTATTAGTGGATTAGATTATAAACCATTAAATTTAGAATTGAGAGATGTTGAAAAGAGCTGTTGCCAGAAGATTTTTTGATACTTATGATAGAGATAGAAATGGATATATTGATAATGTTGTAGGCATTGTAGATATATATATATATCATTAATCGAATTTTCTAACCTTAGATGGGATATTGATTCAATTCAAAATTATAGCCATATTTTTATAGAATGTTAAATAAAAATTAAGAAGGCAAAATCATCTATCAGAAACTTAAAGATTTTTACATTAGATATCTATGATTGACCACCAAAAAGTGTATATGTTATCATTTAAACTTCTTGTTATCCATCCTTGGAGCAGAAAGGTAATAATTTGGTTATGCTGGTGCTGTCAATTTTCCAATATCTAAAGCATCATATTAAAATAGTATCACATTAAAGATCATCATTAAAATATAAGTCTTAAATTATTGTATTCGTATTCAAATTATTAGAACTTTTAGATGCTACCATTAAATATATTTATTTATTTTATTTTTTGAATATTGCTTATTTTCACTTCAGGGTTGCTTTATGATGATACAATAGAATTATCATATCATAATTATTCAAATTAATGATAAATAGTTAATATAATTTGAATTCATTCCTCTTCCATATATAAGCATAAATAACATTATATAAATATTTGATTATGAACAAGACACACATGTATGTGTTGAAGTTATTGAAATTTATAAAAATAAATATTATTCTCCTAAAATAAAATTATTATTAGATTATGTAAAGTACTCAATTAATTTATCAAAGACAGAATCCTCGTTTATTGAATATCAATTAGAATAAATAATATTTTATTTGAGATTTATGCTAATCTTCTTATGAGAAACATCAAATGGATATTTATTATTTATTGCATTTATTCCTGTATTTATATAATGACCCCCTATTTATTCAGTTTATGTCTCAAGTGTTCCAGTAATTGATAAAGAATTTAACTTCCAATATTGATTAAAAAATCGTAAAGGTATTCTAGTAAATAATTTAATCGATAAAATTAACAACTATTTTTTATTGTATCATCAAAGGCTGTAATTGCAAAATTAATTTATTATACATTAGAAACATTAGCAATTTAAACTAAATTGAATGTATAGCCTTAATTATAACTAAAATATTAAGTCTTAACAGATATTGTACTTTAAATATCAATCATATATCGAGTAAATTCATCATAACTACTTTTAAAATTCACTTGTAATAAAATTTACACATTATTCACAAGGACTTGTACAAGATTTGCGATCTTGATAATTTGTCATATTATCCAAATAAGTATCTGAAGAAATACAAGTATAACCAAAAGTTTCAGAAAAATAGCATTCTGTTGCTAAATCCTAAATATTTAACAAGTGTAATAACATTAGTTACAAATAGCATTATTACCAACTTAAAAGTATCACTCTAGACATAAATATATATCTAGAAGACAACTATACACTTACAATCAACAACACAAGATGTACACTCATATCCAGTTCTATTAACCATTATCACTAGGACTCTTTTTATTCATAGCATCAAATATTCTATTTAATTCAGTTTAGCATGTATTATAATTAATTGTACATCTACTACTTTACAATTTATATTGAAAATAAGGAAATTTGCAGGGTTAACAGAAATGATCTGTTCCAAAATAACCATCTTAGTGTAAGTATTTCTTAGCTGGATCTCTGAATATAAATGGTTTTAATTAGTTGCAATCTTATTCATTTGTTATATTATAGTATAATTTACAAATTGTGAGTTAATTTCTCTCTTCTTGAATCTATTTCATAATATTTAGGAATAGAAAATTAAATAAATATTAGATGCATAAATATACTAATGATTTCTCATTACTTACATTTTGTTACAACATTGATTCAAATATTAAGCAAAAATCAAAAATTTTTATTTAATTTCAAAGAATCCCCTATATTTAATTAAGAAGATAAAGTGAAATTAATAATGGCATTAAACCCTATATATAATAGATTTGAAACTTTCTCGTATATATTTAGTTAAAAAAAAAGAAAAGTTACTTTTTGTGTTAAGGAACAATTAAAGGATTTGAATTTTTTGCATATAAAGGGGTTAAAAAAAAGAGATGATAGGGCAGACAATCATTAGGAGTAACATTTAATATTCTTGATTGAAAAATAGGTTTGAAGAGGAATTTTTAAGATCGGGCTAGTTAATTTACACTTTTGTGTCATATAAAATTAATATTTAGAAATTTGGGCTGACAATTTAATTTCCTTTTTAATGAATGTGAAGCTTTTATAAAAATATACTATAATATAATTTGGATTTATGATTTTATGTTCTAATTTAAAATGTCTTAATAAACTAAAGTAATGCCTCTAAGTAAATAATAAAGAATTGAATAATCAAGACTTTTAACTTACATTTACCGAACTATTCGCAATCTATTTTTTTGGCTTCTGTTGTGAAAATACAAATACTCATAAATTATTGTTATTCGAATGCACATATTTTAATAACAAAACTTTAATAAAATATTAAATGGCTTGGATGAGGTGATCTTGACTTGATTTACTAAATCATATTAATTTAAATAAAATAGAAGAATTAGTTACGCATCCTGAAACATCAAAATGTTAAAGAATAGGAAAAAGTAGATTAATACATTTAGGCAATATTATCATAATATATTTATTATATCATAAAGTCATAAATACAAGAATCGTTGGAAGTATTTTATAACAATACTTTAGAGGATAACTTTAGAGTATTGGAATCCTCTAACTAGTATAGAATTTCAAAAAATAGTTCATATTAATGCATACGGCTTTTTATCTGCAAATCCATAATGTACTGGAAGCAAATATAAGATAATGCAAGAAAACATAGTAGAAAGTATAGACCAAAAAATCCACCTTGTATAATTGATTTCCATAATTTGTACCTAAATAAACTAAAATATAATCAATTATAAATGGAATGAATGCTTTTATAATATATACCTAATATTATCATAATTATTCAATTCTTTGATAATTAAATAACAACTGTTACACATTTAATGGATCATCCCATAGAAAATCGCCAAGAATACTACTTTCAAAATATGCTTTTAAATAATCAATTAAAAATTTATTAATTTAATGATACAATAAGAATTGAAGGATATGATGGAGGTTATGAATATTTGTTATATGACACGAATTAATTACATATTATATTTAAATTCTGATAGAGTATATATATTAATAGTATAAATTGAAAGACCTAAGATAAAATCAATAATACTTTACAAATATATAATAAATCTTCCAAGTGATTTTAATGATTTGAATGTGTATAAATAACAAATATGTTAGACCAATAAATTTATGAGTAATTAATATTTGTTATTATTTAAAATAACATTTTCTAAAATTTAATTGGGCTACTGTAATGAATTATTTACTTTTAATTTAGATATCATTGTCTATTAAATTTAAAGACCGTCATTACAAACCAATTGAAGATTTGGAAAATGAAGGAAATAGTTATAATTTTTGACTTATATGTATTGATAATGACAGACATAATTATTGCATTAATTTCTTTATTTAAGTATTAGCTAAGAATGATACAAATATATATATGCATAAATACTATTATATCTTCTATAATCTTAAATAATTTCATCTTAAGACATAGTTTATTTTTTGAGTTTTCAAGACAATTATTATAATATTAAGTTAATTCAAATGGAATACCTTTATAACTTATATTATTGACATAATAAAAAGCTGTTGAAATTAATTTTACTTATTAATTAATTTGAATCAACATCAATATTTGATTATAATTGTTATTTTTATGGAATTTAATATTTCATAAGATATAATAGGTAGTCGCTTGATGTTTTATAATTGGAGTGCTTTCTCATATTGTTACAAATACCCTTCTCTATTAAATTCAATCAACATATCTATAAGTTCATCAATTATAATAAAATTTTATTGCCAAAATAATAAATAAAACATATTAATTCTATTAATCAATTTATTATTATCTGATCATAAGTGTTATTCTATTAAGAAATATTTAAAGGAAAGTGAAATCAACAAAAAATTTTAATATAAAACTTAATGAACCAAACACTATTTTGGAAAACTATCTTGTGTTTCGATATGTCAAGGGAAGAAGTTATAGAAAAGAGGAATTTAAAAAATGAAAATTTAGAGAAAGAATTTAAGATAAATAAGTGTCCTATCGATTTTGGAAATTATCCTTTTCAATTTAAACATCTATTTCAATATAATAATTTGAATAACTAAAAGCAAATACCAGTTAAGAGTGCAGAGAGAGAGGAAAGATTTTCTTTTCATACAAATAAACTCAGACTTTTGGAAGTCCGAGTGATTCAGATCAATATTATTATTTGACTTGTCTTTTGGATAAGTATGGATAAGATATATATCAAATAGAATTCAGTCCTGATTTAATAGAAAGCTGCAAAAGGAATTTTAGAATTGGGATGTATATTAACAAATGATACAAAGGAAATAAAACATTTGATTGATGCACAAGAATTTTCTGCTTTATTACTTAAGAAGAAAAATAAAACATTAGAGATAATAGCTAGCATAGTCATACAAATGTACACTTAAGAATCATTTCTATATAGAAAAATAAATAGAGCTTTCAGAGAAAATGATAAAACGAGAGCATGTATTTCTTATTTTGTAAAATTGATGAACTATTCTCTTCAACATTTCTCTGAAAAAAAAATTATCTACCCTATAAAGGTTTATTATATAGAGGATGCAATTTAACAGTAGATTAACAGAAGGAATACAAATTGTCGTTTTAGGGAAGGCATCCCAAAACAATTAATGGCTATTTTACATGGTTTGGCTACACATCAGCATCAAAAGATAGAGCTGTTGCAGATTAAGAAAGATGGAATACTTTATTTATTATATCAGTAGAAACCTTGCATGCTTTTTGTAACCTTAGTCCAGTTGAAATAGAGGAGTTATCAAATTTTCCTGATGAGAAAGAAGTATTAAGTTTCCCATGCAGTAATTTTAGAGTAACCGATATTTAATACAAAAAAAATAAGATGATAATTTATCTAATCTAATCAGTATTAGGAGATTGATTTTCAATTATTATAAATAAAATCAATTTTGTTCATTTAATTCAAAAATCAATCATGCATTACTTAAATATCAGGTTTGTACACTGATATTTCTGGGTTTAATTATTTAAGGTTTTAAAAATAGAAAATATTAAATTTCTTTAATTTTTTTAATTCAACAACATGAAGAATTATTATTTTTAACTTTCTATATATATAGTATAGTTTTATCAAAAGAACTAGAGATAAGAATTTTTCCATAGGAAAGAAAACTTGACCATTAAGTTTTATTTATTCTGAGCAAATCAATTTATTCCAATTAACATTTTACATTTTAGATACATTAAAAGAATATTTAATTATTTTAATCTTGGGTATT